TTTACCAAAAATAACCTGTCCACTGTGTTGGATACCAACATTTGTGCCATGTTTCAGGGATTTAGGTTGGACACCAGACAAGATTAAAGACCTTCTTACACTGCTGCGAACTCTTCACCCTTACTAATTGAGGTGAACCTTTGAATGGCTTCTTGGATACACTGTGACTGACTTTTCTGTCTTTTAAACATGTACCATGAAGTGCAGAGTCTGTATGTCTGATAAGCAGGAGAGCTTTGTAGAAAAGTCCTGTTACCTGTTGTAGGGATGAATAATTTCCTGCCTTGGATGCTTTAGTATCACTTCTGCTGAACATTGTGTGAGAAGTAAGGCTTTAGGTTTCTCTGTCACTTCTGTGGTGCTGAAAGGTAGGACACAGGTTCTGTCTCTCTTTTATTTTTTTAAAAATCTGACCTTATTATTAGAGTGGTTTCTGAATATCTTTCAGCTTCCCCTGTCGTTCTGTGACAAGGCAAGGTGTGCCCAGGGAGATGGTGCTCAGCTTGGCTCTGCTGCAAGCCTTTATGCTGGGTTTTCTTAAAGCCACAGCACCCATGAAGAAGCAGGTAAAGAACGAGAGGTCTGCTGGACACACATTTCTCACTCTCAGTGCTGAAGATGGGAATGATCCCTTTTCTAGGGCCCAGAGTTGCACTGGCACCGAGGGCTTGGAGCCCACCACGTGCTGATCTGAGGTGGACACTGTCAGGGCATGTCACAGGGGATGTTCTTCCCCCCAGCTCAGCTGCTCAGCTGGAGCATCACCAGCAGCTGAACCTCTTCTAAGACCCATCTTGAACTAGTGACTCTCACCATTATCACACGGGCTGAGGGCTAACACAGAGCTAAATCATAGCAGGCCAATCTTACAGGGATCAGGTTGACCAGTTTTAGATTAAGCTGCCACATATGTGGAGCACATGAGTGGCTGTTTAAAGAAAGCCTCTTACTTCCCCTCCCTCTCCCTCCCTTTTAAGGCTTATTTCTTTTGTCGCGTGTCATGGGGGCTGGCAGCAGGTTCAGAAAGTCTGAGCTCTCCCAGCTCAAGGTCATTGGGATTGTTTAAATATAATCTCCTTTTCTGTACTTATACTTTCCTACAACTTGCTGTTCTGTCTTTCTAAAATTAAACTGTTGACCAAGGGAGTAGGTTGGACTCTACGTGCCCCAGGACGGGGACGAGCTGGCTGCAGGCTGGACCCCCTGCCAGGGTGTGTCTGCCTGAGGTGGTGGTAGGGATGCAGGGCAAGGCTGGCAGTGGGGAGCTGGGGCTGCCCTTGCTGCTCAGCTGTGCCTCCTGTGAACCGTGGCAGCTTTTCATGGCAGGCCACTCATGGAGTTGTAAAGCACAGACCTCTGACAGAAGTGAAACCAGCCAGCGGAGCGCTCATCAAGCCTTCCACAGTGACTGTGTCCTGCCAGGGAATGAGACAGAGGACAAATGCCCTAATGCTTCTGAAAAGCTCAGTAGTTTGGAATGTTTTTTAGTTTTAAAGAAATTGTTTTCAAGGTTTTTCTCTGCAACCAGGAAGTGCTGCAAATGAAAAGTGAAAGCTGGGGATTCCCAGTTGCAGGGGTCTGACCTTTAAAAAAGCAGAGCACTGAACACTGTCAGACTTGCAAGGACAGGCAGTCCTGGAGTTTGATCATCAGGCTGCTGGGGACAAAGATGACAGCTGAGTTCTCTGTGCTGGTAGGTATTGGGTTGTGCTCCCCTCTGGGAGTGAGAGGAGGAGCAGTGAGGCTCAGCACAGCACCGTGCAGGAGCCAGGCCCAGGCTGAGGGCTCAGCACCCCATCCCTGCCCTCCTGGCACCTGCCCTGCTGGTGAGCACAGCGGCTCTGTGCTGGGAGCAGGGAGTGTCTGTGCTGCCCCAGCTGGGAGCTGAGCCCGGGTGCCACCCCACAGACCCTTACAGCAGGGAACGGGTGCTCCCCAGCTGGGCCTTGCCTACACCAGCACCACCAGGAGGGCTCTTCTGGGGTAAGCTAAACAGTCAGTTCTGCCGTACTGGTACAAACTGAAGCACACAGTATAACTCAGTTTTTTTGAGTCCAAAGACCTAACAGCCCATTTCTTACTCAATTGAGGACTAGCTGTACAGGCTCAAGGCTCTTCTCAGAGTTGTGGTGGCATCTGCCTGAGGCAACTGCTCTGCTTTGCCCTCCCTGTAGAAGAGGACAGACAGACAGAAGCTGACTGCAGCCGAGCTGTTTGGGTGGACATTGGCTTGCAGACCAGACTGATTTATCCTTTTTTTTTTTTTTGCCTAGCCTCTGTGTTTTGGGGTTTAATAAACTACATCCTAGAATGTCTAAACTGCAGGGAGAACATTTTTTAGTATCTGATGCCACGCTTGCTTTTACGAAGCTTCGTGGCTCACTCACATTTCTGCCAGCCCAGTTTGCTGCCAAGCCTTGATACCTCCTGTGCCAGCCACCACCCTGAGAGTTGACTCTGCAGATCAGTGGTGCTCATCCAGTCTGGATCTTGCCACAGAGCAAGCACTGGAGAAACCAGATCACCAGTGGTGCTGCGACCAGTCCTGTCCCAGCTGGCCCTGCTGGCTGCACTGGCCCTTGAAAGTCTGGGCTGTGGAGCTGGCTGTGGTGGAAAAGCTTTGCTTTCCTGAGGAAACCTCAGTCTCTGCCACTTTACTGACTGACTTACTAATGGCTCTAATAAGTTACTGGTTACATTTGTGTCATGCTAAGGCTGGGGAGGGGAGGTGCCGCTGGGTAGTGTGGCTGGGTGGCTTACCCCAGGACTGCAGTGACACTGCTGCTGCAGACATGGCTGTGTCAGCTGGGGTATTTTCTCAGTGGGGAGTGCTGGGGGTGAGGAAATGTTTCAAGATAATTCAAGAGTGACATGGCTGTAATCCTGCTTGCTCTAAGACCGTGTAAAAGCACGAAACAGGATAAATGTTTTTGTAAGAGACACTGGCCTTGCCTTGCACTGGATGGGGAGACATCAGCTCCCTGAGCACAGAGGCACCTCTGCTGTGCTGAAAATTTCTTCCCTGTTATGCTAAAACTCACTCCATGTTTCCCCCAGTCACTGTCCCTTTTAGAGCTGCTTGTGTCCCTGCAAGGCTGACGTCCTGCAGTGCAGAACCACCCTTGTGATACCACTGAACAAAGATGCTTCTGTGAACTGCCCGTCTGCAGGCAGGGGAGAGGAATTCAGGGGGTGCTGGGGAAACAACTAACTGTACCAAAAACGTGGTTGAATTCTGTTGTTATTGCCCAGTTTGGCTGGGGCTCTGTGTGAGGAAACCTGTGCTGGCTTCGTGATGGAATATTTGGGTGTTGGAAGCCCATTCCTGTTTCAGCTCAGATGATCTCAACCCCTCCTCTTTGTCCTTTGGAGTGTCATGTCAGGGTAAGAATCACAGGAGGGTGAATTTTTCACTGGAGTCTTTGTGCTTCCTGCCATTTATCCGTGTGGAAATCATTCAGGAACAAACTTCCTGGGGCGATCTCACTCCTTCATCTTGGTGGTGCTTGTGTGCAGATTATAGAAGGAGAAGAAAATTCACCCAAACTTCACTGAACTCTGGCTCTACTAGGGACCTGCTTTGTGCTTAGTGCTCATTTAAATTCGTGGCCTCTCCTTGAGTCAGCTGTGCTCTGTGTTCCATCCGGGTCAGGGCATGTGCCAGGAGATGCAGGATGCCTTTCTTAGTCTGCTGCCCTCTCCATTTACTATTTTCCTTTGCTCTACGCAGCAGTTACTAAAAATGGGAACTATGTATTTACTCTTTGTGTTATCACCCACAAAGCTCCAAAGGTTGGGGCTACTTCTGGCACTATCACAGTAAAATTCAAAAGTCATGCATCATATCTTAAAGGCATGAGTCTGGATTAAGAAAAATGTGATTGTTAAAGGACATTCAAAAACATTCAAATTTGATTTTTAGTTGGAAGTGAGGTTTAAGAACCTAGAGGATTTCAAGCTCTTTGTTTCTCCAATCAGTGAGACACACTTTTGAGTTTCCCCTTCAGATAAAAGCTGAAATCTGTTTATATAGCATGATTCCAGGAGTCGAAACTTTAGGAAAGAGGCCAAATATTGTGAAATCTGTGATCTCATTTTGAGAGTAGGCAGCAGTGAAGTTTGTTTAGGCAAAACTTTCAGGGAAATTCCTGGGTATCTGGGCTAAATATCCTGGTTTTGTTTATTAACCACAATTGCTGCAGACTTACACTGGAAACATTTGAATGGGGGAGGAGAGAGGCGACCCAGCTCCGTTCTGTGTCAGGAAATACCAGATCAAGTCACACTCTGTCTCCCGTGTCTCTTGTGTCTGCCTGATCTAAACCCTGGCACTTTGGGGGCTTCGCTGCATTCAGATGGACAAGGAGTCCTGCACAAATATCTTTGCAAGCAAGATATGGGTGAGGCTGATTCTCTAATGAAGGAAAAATTGCTTGAGGAGGAGGAGGTTGCTATCTCTGTCAAAATGTTTATTTTTGCTTAACACAAGAAGTAATTTTCCTCACTGTTTTTACTTTTCACTTCCCTACTGAAAACCTGAACATCTTTATCTGATGTTTTTTCAGGTTTTAGGCCTGTTTTGTTTCTGACTGCTATTTTTAATGAAAAAGTTAAGCTTTCATTGATAGCTTTTCAAAAAAAAAAGCTTTTCCACAAGTGGAGAAGAATATTTCAGTCCCCTCTAATCCTAACTTAAATACCAGAGAATGACCATAACATCCTAGTGATACAGAGCACACAGAGTATGCCTGGTCTCTGGTGATGCAGGGAGGAGGGAGCAGCTGCTGAGGTTTGCCCGTGGTCGTTACTGACCCACTGATCCTTAAGAGAGGTGCAGGACCAAAATGAGGAAACCGTGAGTCAGAGCAGGCAGTGAGACTGTGGCACTATTTAAAGTACATCAGAAGAACAAGCGACAATCTCATTCGTGTATGAGAAAAAAATGTGTTGTCTTTCTGCAGAGGATCCCAGAGGAGCTGACCTTAGATGCCTTACTAGAAATGAATGAATCAAAGGTGAAGGAAACAATGAAGAGGTGTGGTGCCAGAGACGAGGAGTGCTCCAGGCTCAACGGGGCACTCAGCTGCTTACGGAAGGTGACTGAATCAGGTACAGAATGCCTTGTTCTGTGGAACTAGTTTTTTGGCAACCCAGCCCCCATCCTGCTTCCTTTCATATGAGACAATCTGCAAAAACCTCTAGACAGTGCCTTTGGGTGTATTCTGTAACCAGTAGCAGGTTATGGCTCTTGGATATACCTGAAGTTACAGTGAACAAAGGCATCCAGAGCTGTGGATTTGATTTGGTTTTGATGTGTCACATAAATAAATAAGTGGAAAAAAATGTATGTCAAAGTATCCCCTCCTATTCAGGAGACTATATCCTTACTCCCCCTCTGTTCAGAGTGTCCAATGCTCCAGTTAATCCTCCATCATTCCATACATACAGCCTTGACCTAACAAATGGAACCAGGTGTCTTGTAGGTAATCGCCTGCCCAAATATTGCCATCGTGGAGAGAAGGTGTAGTTCTCTTTGGCATTACTTTGCTTAGAAGCCTGAATATTGTTCAGCTCAATGCTCTGGAAGAGAAAATCGTTGCTTAACAACCCTTTATCACTGTGCAGCTTGTAATGTATCAATTAATTCACTTCTCTTTAAAACCACTTGCCTCCTGCTCTTTTTCTCTGACTGCTAGAACTGGTAGAATCATTAGCCAGATTCCACTAGCAGATTCAAGAGCTAGAAAGATCCCTGATTTACCTTGAAGTTACAGAAAGAAGGGCACTGGGTAATCAGAAATACCTTTGTTCAGCATGCAAACACATCCAACCAAGGTATTTAATATCAGTGAAGCTCAAGATTCCGAGTGCTATTTCCCCATCTTCCCCAGCTCTTTCCCCAGGCTACTTTCAAAGGCAATGTAAGATCAGTTTGCAGGAGAGTGTTTCTCACAGCTTGCTGGTACTAACATGCATCAGACCTTTCTTTGTAGCAGTGATCAATCTGTCACTAAGAGGTGATGCTTCCTGTTGGTATTATGACAGTTCATACCATTTGCAAATCATAAAGGTTAGTTAATGGAAAAGCCATCAAACAGCTCACTTTTCTATTTCCTTTTGTCTAATTTTTCTTGTCCTGGGTTGTCAGATATTTCCCATCCACAGTATGGCAAAACCAGCCATTGTTCAGAAGTCATGGCATTCACTTAGTATAAAGGAATGGCATTTTAAAAAGTCTGGCTATATGGTCTCTTTTCAACCACTGTCTGGTCAACAGGACATCAGGCCCTGAAGCTTTGACTTTTCACCTTGATTTAAGTCATTAAGGACATGCTTAAAATTAAGCCAGAGAGTTCTCCTGATGAGGTTCTGAAATGATCCCTGTAATCTGTGCATTCCT